AGAGCTTCCAAAGGATGCAAGGTTTTAAAGATAAAAGAAATGAAATCACAAATGGAATTAAATGTACTCACAAATGGAAGTATGTTGGCTTTTTTAAGAGCAATTATTTTGATGAATGAACAATGGATGTAAAAGTCAATGGAATTAGAAAATATAAGAGTAATGGTCATTTTATGTTATAGGATATCCTACTCCAGTACAGTTTCACATACAGGGTACCTGGTATTTATAATGTACTTCTGTTTAGTTTTATGTTATGGAAATTGAAAACTAGAAAATTCTTTCCATGAAAGTTAATTACATCTTAAAAAAGGATTGTTAGTTATAAACAAATGAAGTTATACCAAAGGCTATTAGTAATTGCATCAGTCTGCTGGTGTTATCCAAACAGAGTACCACCGATACTCTGGATAGCTGCATAGCTTAAGCAACAATTTTTTTTTCTTCATAGCTCTGCAAACAAGAAGTCCAAGAAGGAGGAGCCAGAAAATTTGTTTTGTGGTGAGACTTCTCTACCTGCCTTGCAGAAGGCTAAGGGTCAACCTCTGTGATGCCATTGGCCATAATTATATCTTTAGAGATGGTATCTTCAAATACAGTTACATTGGGTTTAAGTGTCATTGTGTGAATTTGAAGGGGGGACACAGTTATACTCATAAGAGGCAAAAAGACAAGAAGTACTAAAAGCATCATTTCAAACATGGTAACACAAAATTGATTGTGAAATGTAACAGCCAATTACACAATCATTTTGCTACTTTCATAACAGAAGGCAGAAAGCATTACTTTGAGTGAAACTGCGTCCCTAACAGTCACACTGGCACTTCAGAATGTGATAGCATCTGGAGTTAACTTGGAGTTAAGCCTTTTAAAGATGAGACTAAGGGAAAATGAGGCCGTGAGATTGGACCCAAATACAATCTGACTAATGTTCTTGTAAGAAGATGAAATCTGTAGTGACACCAGGGAGGTGTGTCCTCTGAGGAAAGACAGTGTGAGCGTACAGCCATTCGCAAATCAAGAAGAGAGACCACAGAGGAAACTTCCTCTGTCAACACCTAATCTTGCACTTCCAGCCTCCAGGACTGTGAGAAAATATTTTTTTTAACTTTGCCAGTCTGTAGTAGTTATGGTAGCCCTAGCAAATTCATATGGCTATGATAGAATGAATTCCTTAATAATTCAAGTCACTTTTAAGAGGTCATAATGTCAAATTATTTAGTAACAAGTGTGATATTTTTTATTCAAGGGAAAACAATCCAAGAACCGGGAAAATACAGTATTGCAAAGCAGTGGAGGGTTCTTCCCAAAGGATCTGGTGCAAGAGCTTATTTACAGAGTCTTAGAAGAAACAGCTGGGAAATAAAACAGGGCGTGACTGGCTATAAGGGTGGGCACTTCCTTATATGGATAGCAGGTCCAATTTCTAGGATAATGTAAGGTAGCTCAATCTAAACTGGAGGGTTATCAGTGGTGTATATAAGGTTACCTAATAGGAGTTTCTCCAGTGTAGGCTGACTTAGGTTTAGATCTGTGACACAGGTAAGCCATTGGGCTGTCTCCATTTTGTGGGTTCAAAAACTTCTATGAAGGGAAATGCTAACAAAGAAATATTTAGAGAACATTGGCCCCATTCCCTGGTACCTAGGATGTTTGAGATGCTACTTGTCTCTAATATGCTCACAAATTAGTTGGGTATACTGAATAAGTCTATGGTGCTGAGAATAATTGGCATTTCCTTAACTAATATAATCTTTTTCATTCTCCTACCAAGACTGTGTATAGATGACAGGGAAAAAAATGCAGACTTGAATCTTCATAGAGTCTCTTTTTAGCTGAATGGTTTATGGTAACGGTTTATGTTGTTGTTGTTGTTTTTTTTTTTTCTGATAAACAATCAGAATTTCGAACTCCCCACCCCCTGCAATATGTCATCTGGGAGAAGACAGATTTACTTTCTAATCAATAAAGCTTCAATTTCAGGTTTCCTCAGTCATGTCTCTTTTAAAGCCATTTAACTCTCTTTTACATTTTTTTTAAAGATCTCCTTATGCATACAGAAGTGGGGTACAGGCCAGAGGTGCACGGGTAGTGAGACGCTTCACCAGAGACAGAGTGGGGAGCAGAACAGGCAGATTGACGCAGTACACTGCTGTGGGGAGCAGCAGGTGGAGGAGAGGTCTGCCGCACCATGTGGGTCACCTCCAGGGCAGGGATCGAACTCACACTGAGGTGGCTGTGGCCAGCCTGCAGTGCTGTGTCCTTAACCTATTGTGCCACCAGGGAGGGCTGTCTTTTACATTTTTAACTTGACATGATTTTTATAAAGGAGACATCTCCAAATTGCATAAGGCCTCACAGAACATGGCTCACTTACCACTACATAGGGGCTAACATAAGAGAGAGACATGTAGCTCTATAGCTACTTTTCTGGATCCTCAGTCACTGGCTATGTCCCCTCTCTGTCTGAAGTCTCGTTGCCAACTGAGCTTCTGCTACAGAAGTGGGGCTCTCTTATATCTCCTCCTCGCCCTATCAAGGACCAAAAGGTCCCTCAAAGCGACTCAGCCACTGCTCAGTTGTCATACATTTGTCATTCATGTCGTGGCTCCACAGGTAGCCAGCTCCTTCACTCTGCCTCTCTCTAGAGTCCTTCCCATTTATCAACACAGCCTAAGAGACTAGTTACTCCAATGACTTAGAAACTTCTGGATAAGCTTCAAGGTCACAAGAAAGTCAAGCCAGATTGCCTGCCATGATATTAAGAGAGTAAGAAAAAAATATTTTGCTCAGTGCATGTCTAAATAAGAGCACAGTTTTGCTAGGGATTGAAAAAATTATATTCAGAAACAAACAAACAAACAAACAAAAGAACTAAACACCAAACCTTTCCTTTGCATTCTTAACATTTATCTCCACCCGGGCACTCCCTGGTGGCGCAGTGGGTTAAAGCACAGCACTAAGAAGCTAAAGCCATTTCCTCATGAGTTCGATCCTGCCTGTCCCGGAGGGATCCCACATGGCGTGGCAGACCTCTCCTGACCCGTCCACTGCTCCCCTCAGCAGTGTACTTCGACAATCTGCCTGTTCTGCTCCCCACTCTGTCTCTGGTGAAGCCTCTCACCGCCCCTGCACCTCTGGCCTGTACCCAAGTTCTGTATGCATAAATAAATAAATCTTTAAAAAAAATTTTCTCCACCCTGGTAAGGGGGGTGAATATCTCTAAGTATGGATTAGATTGCATACACAAAGAAACAAAATGTAAAAACACAGTAATAGATTTCAAACTATATTAGACCTACTACTGAAGCAGTAACAAGTAACATGCTATTTTAGTGGTACAGCGGCATGGAAGATGGAGTAAAAACACCGCCTACAGATGTGAGGGGCATTCCTGGGGGCAAAGCTACTGCAAATATAGAAAATAGAAATCCTGTAAATTCACCAGCCCATCCCTCAGAGTCTTAATGTAGACTGCTCATTTCTCAGCCAGTTACCATCTAATCTCTGCAGAATAACACAGGTAATAACTTCTGCCTGATTTCAGCCTATATTTGTTATCAATCATTTATGGAAATTTTATCTGCCTATTATTTCAATACAAAAGGATTTTTACCTGTGCAGACTGAAACTCAATAATCCAAAAAATAAATATTGGTTTCATCTATTTCTTGTTCAATGTACTTATATATTTACTTTATGCAGATTCTCAAAATGAACTACCAGACCAAATG